GGGAGAAATGATGCAAAACCAAAGTAAATGAGAACCACGTTGGACCGGCCAAGTGAAAACTGCTCTAAGTGCCACAGCTGCTAGGACAGTCTTCCTTCTTTCACCTTCAATGTTGAACAACAAAAAAAAGAAAAACTCGAAATGGTTTTAGTCCTAGTCCTTGGGTGCTCGCGTCATAACAAAGAAAAAAAATATCTCAGTCCACATTGAGGGGACCTGACCAGACTCGTGCCCAATCGCTATTTATGTGTCTTGGGGAGTGCAGATTGGATACTAGGGTGGATTAAGGCGCATGGGGTGTCATTTTTCTCCCGCCTCTTCCCATAAATCTCTCCGTGCTCTACTCGATCCAGACCGCTTTCTCTTTGAAATAACCCAATCTGACCTGTAAATAGCGACTGGGTACGAGTCTGGGACCGGAGTGAAGGAACTGGTAAACAAAAGCTCAGTTCCCAATCTATAAAATGGTTACTTAAACATTCGGCTTTCCAAAAATGTTCTAAGTATTTCGGCAAGTAATAACTATTCATTCGTCTCATCATTACCTTCGACCATGTATGGAATACGTTCGGAATCTCTTTGTATTAAGCTGGGAAATCTTCGTTGTAACCGGTATCCGTAATACAACCCATCATTTAAACTTTCTGAACTCATGTCGAAACAAGTGCCACTCCATTTTTTAGCAACCGAGAAATCATGATTTTTTAAATCTGCATTGAGGTCAGCTGAAGAAGAGAGATTTATGCTTTTGGGGCGGAGGAAACCATAGCTGCGTAACAGGTTGATGGGCTTTTGTAGACAACTGTCAAGATGTGCTTTTATTTATTTGCGTCGAACCAAAACGGAAAATAACTCGCCTAAACAGTTTTGTGTGTTAACATTAGTCTGCTCTCAAAATTCTCTTTTACACATTTTATTTAACTGCTGTATCCGTCATTTACCTATATTTTCTCTGTTTGATTCTTTAGGGACCGCTTCATAACAACCGTGAACGTTCTTGGTGACGCAATGGGAACTGGGATCGTGCAACACCTGTCACGTGACGACTTAAAGTCAACCGGAGACGATGACGAATCAGTATTAAAACCTCTTCGCAAGAGTGAGAACGAGGCTGAGGTGTAGTATTTCTCTAATGTATGAGAGAAAATCAAATTTTCCGTTGGGAAGAATGTAAGCTCCCGTTATATCTTTAGCCATGCGCGTGCATTGGCTCATATACCATGATGGCTAAGCCAATGAATGAACTCTTGAACTGCATTATCCAATGATCCAGTTTTTAAAATACATGTACATACTACTACAGATAGATCTGGGGCTCGTTTCAGACCCCTTTATATCACAGTAAAAATACGTCAGGCTCAATCCAAACGTAGCGCGATCAGAGTGTTGAATCAATCGGTCAATTAAGTTCGAACTTATTTAGCGCGAATTAAACTCGACATTTGAATACAGGTAGGAAAGCACGACTTTGGCGCGACCTTGTTTCAAACTTGGAGCTGCACTTGCTAAATAAACTCAATGCATATGGCAGTTCTTCATAGCGGACTTCATAGATCAGAAAGATCATAAATCAAACCAAATACAAGTAACCTTGAACAAGCCTATCCATGCTTCTTAAGCTGGCAATGTAAGGGAAGAAACAGAATGTTTATAAATAAACAAGTTAAAACTATTTTTTTGGTTGACACTCATTATTTGCTTTTATGTCTTCAGTAAGGGGAAAGCTGGTGGGAACCACAAGGAAACCCATGATTTCCAACGAAATACCTCGATTTTGTTTTAATGCCCTTCAATAAATAACAACATTTAAAAGTAATTAAGTAATACAAATATCAAACTTTGAAAACGTTTTGATTAAAGTAGTTCTTTTCTAGCTTGTACCTAATTATAAGCTTTGATTCGGCGTAGACCATCAGATTTTAGCGCGGGGATATTTAAAAACCTGCAAAAATCGACCAATAAGACTATCAGAAAAGGCTTATTTAACGACAAATGACGGCCGCGTGAATCAGTCTTTACAAATGTATTTAATTTCATGTCCGATTACTGTCTTAATAAAGCCTAAAAATGCAAAGAGCTGGAGTGAAACTGATATTTTTGAAGTGATGCAATAGTTTTGCATAAAAATTAAAATCCAAGTCCTGAAAATATGCCGCGGCGTTTTTGTGAGCGATTGGTTCTAGTTTGTAATCAATATTCATGACTACTTGTTGAATTTGCGTCAAACAAAACACTTGGTCATAGTGTGAAGACGTGGATTTATGTGCTCCTAGTGATGTCGGATCTGACCATGATCTTCTTTCGAAGAAGTTAAAGCAGGACGAGATAGAAGTATTTAAATATTAATGGTGAGTGTAAATTTTAATCTTTTTGCTCTTCACCAAACGGAACAAATTCTACCTTCCGCCTTAAGTCTAGCTCCACCCTTCGCTCTCTATTTTCTTTGCCGAGCTGCACACAGCTTCGTCCATAACAGATAATCGTAGTTTTGCTTTCACTGAGATGAAACGTTTCTGGGAAAGGTTTAACAAATAATTTTTTTGCGAAAGTTTGTAAGATACTTGCGCTGAATTTGTTTGATATTTCCATTTCTTCTCGCGTTGCGTGTTGCTCCCGGAAAGTTGAAAACCGTTACCACGTGCAGTCGGTTCATGCGAGCTTTGGTCGCTGCTTGCCGTGGTTGTAATAGTGTATCTTGAAAATACATTTGTCCCGAGAAAAAGCTTATGTTTCTCTTCATTGTCTTCTTTTTTAAGGAAAGGAAATGGCCTGACGGCGAAGAAGGAATTCACTGGTAAGACCCGGCGAACGAAAGATGAGATTGAAATTCACGAGGAGTTGATAATTTATCTGAGATCTCGATTCTGGTAGCCACCATTTTGGTCGACATAATTTCAGGAAATATTTTAAGTGGATAAACAACGTTGGGTTTTTACGGTGGCACTATATTTGACAACACTATCTAAACTTTTCTTATCAAATCGTGTGCGTGTTATTTCGGAATCGACAAAGTGATGTAACATTGGGTGTTTTTTTTTTAGGCAAAAGGAGATTTTTAAGTGGCCTGCACGACGACGAAAAAATATATTTGGCAACAACGAAATTCACTCTGCAACAAATAAATTGTCTTGCTACAATTATTGCGCAATACTTTCCTCCCTTCGATCGACTAAAACCTCAAAGTTGTATGTAGTGTTTTTCATGTAAAGGGAGATTAATAGGACCGCATGCCTGTATCGTGAAACAGAAAAAAAATAAATTTTGTAGCATACGAAATTATTCTATGACAAATTTGAATTGTCTTGCTATCATTAAAATTATTTTCAAACATTCTCATCGAATAAAGCCTCCAACTCTTAATGTAATGAAGCAGAAAAATGCCAGAACAATGAAAACTACGCTTGAAAGAGTATGGATGGTCATCTCAATTAATCAGATGAACACACAATTGTATTACGAAATTATTTGCAAACATGTTCAATAATCTGAAACACCCTAAACCAAATATAGACGAAGACTTCTATCTGAACGGCATTCCGAAGATTCCCGACGATAGAATTTCGGAGATTACTCGAAGATTTCCGAAGACTTCCCAACGGTAAGGAAAGTTTTGGGAATACTTTAAGGAATTCGGAAGCTAAAGGGAAATTTCTCAGAGATTACAAACTGCATTCAGAATCATGTGATTACCAAGATATCTTTCGCTGTAAATCGAAGCCTTCCTTGCATGATGTTGTACCACAGATACTTTAAAATAAATTGGACACATTTTCAGGTTACTGGACATACCACACAACCCTCAATTTCTGAAAGTGCCACCTTAATGACAGATCAACGTTTGTTTAACCTCTAGATATTGAAAGTTTAGGCTTCTAAGATCAATATCTGGTTTATAAAAGGTGTTGTAAAAAGGAAAAAGCAGAGAAGTATAGCGAGTGATAAACAAAATCATCAACTAGGAGAAGACTGTCTTGATTTGCTACCAAATTCTCAGAACAACAGTTAAGACCAAGTAAGGCGATCGTTAAGGAGAATTATTCCTTTCAGCTTTAAAGAACGAACGAGTTCAGGATCACGGAGAACAACTGAAAATATAAAACCTGTTTCTGTAAATGCTTGAACATTTGCAAATCAAATTCGATTCTGCCATCTTTTGTTTTTCAACAATTGTCTAGCAGTGACTTCCAAAAGGAGAACCTTTCGCATGCAACTACTACACCATAAACATTTAAAATTAGCAATTGCACTGATCGTTTTTTTGAGATTTAAAAGGCTGCCAACAATTTTGAAACAATCGTACTTGAAAACTAGAAAGACCAGCAACAAATTTGTAAACAAGGATGATAATATTTGCATATGAATTGGCATTAAAAACGTGCCTTATTACAAAAGTTCTCGTGGCGCCTTTGCAAAACATGTTTGTATTTCCTTTGTCATTTCTAACGTTTAAATTTCTGGACGTCCAAAATAAGTACATAAGCATATTTCTTTGATAAACTTTGTTCAAAACAGAGTAAAATATTTTCGAAAACTTTTCAACAAGAGATTAAAATTTTCAAGGCGGATTATTCCGAAATTGTTTTGACTTAACGAGTTCACAAAATATACTGAACCGGCCGAAGAAATTTTGCGTTATTTTAGGAATACAAACATCTTTGTGCTACCAGATATTGATTATTTTGTGTTGTTTACACTTT